TGTCAGCAGTGTAGCAAAAGAAAAAAAACAAAACACCATACCAAAAGGAGGTCACTCGATGGTAACAGGTTTTTGGGGTTTTTTGTTGGGTTTTGGGATGGGATTTTTTGGTTTTGTTGGGTTTTTTGGGGGGGGTTGTTTGTTTGTTTCAGTAGTTTTTGTTTGTTGTTGTTTTGTTGGTTCACTTGGTTTGTTTGGTTTGGTGTTTTTTTTTTTGCTTTTGTTTTTTACCTATGATGCAATTTCTGAGAAAATTAATCTAGATTTCATTGTCCCTTCTCGATTCTAAGTAAGAAATTACTGTTACCATTGAAACGGAGAGTGTGTAAATAGAAAAAGAATAATTTATGTTGAAAGGAACTCCTAGAGGTTCTGTGTGTGATCCTTTTCCAAGCAGATACCCCCTAAAAAGATCCTAATGCAGTGGAATGAAAGGTTTTAAAATTACAGAGTGCAATCAGAGTAGCCCATCACATCTTGAAGAGTGAATTCTGGCTACATCTATTGCAGATACTCTACTGTCAGACACAAGTATTAGACCAAAACACAGGGATAGATGGGGCTGAAGGTACTTTTAAGTGTTGGCCTGCTCTCTCACAGACATCCTGTGGCCATATGAATCTGTATCTCTTCTCTAAGTGGTTTCTCTGTCATCCCAGATATAAGAATACCTTTCTTTTCCACTTACATGCATGAGGAGTGGACACCCTTTAATGTAGAAAAATGAAGAAGATGATATGGTTTGATGTCAGAAGACATGCTGTCCCAAAAGTATCAGTATTCTGATTTGCCAAATTTCAACACTTTAGAAATACAGACAAGTATCAGTCCCTAATATTCATCCTCAGCATGATACACACAGTAAATAAAGGTAGGCAGATGGAACCAGACATTTGGAAAAGACCAAAATGAATAAAGAAAGAAAAAAACCCCAAAATATAAACCTCTTCATTTACTAGTGCTATGCTGACAGGGCTCCTTTTATTTGGGGTGCCTTGCTTTTCAAGAGTTACTTTAAAATGGGAGTGAAGAAGCAACAACAATAACTCAGTTTTAAACCTGCTTTTCAGCCTCTGTTGCTGCCTTTCAGTACTTGAGTGCCTTTGTGCATTTATTCCCGAGCTGGGCAATTACAACTCTGCATTTTGCCTGTCTGACTTGTGTTTCCCAATTTCACCTTTATTTCATCTCTCCAAATAGCTATGTTATTCCTGGCTGATTACTAACCACTCCTCTGTGTGCCTGACCCATCTGAATAGCAGAAGATGTCTCCACAAGAACTAGAGGCTCTTATATTCCACGGTCTGATTACACAGCAAACCACTTTTGAAGATTACACAGTAATACATAAGTAATACTCCCATAAAATACAGCCCCTCATTCTACAAGCAAGCTGATTAAACTCATGAGAGCTTACATATACAAGACCTCCAAAAAGCCTTTGCCTCACAAGCACTGCTTTACTGTGTCTGGAGTTTCCTTCTGATTTGTAACTCCTTTATGCAGAAAATGGAGAAGCATGCAGTAGTTCTGCAATTATGTGGTAAGAATCAGCCAAGTAACAACTGTACTTTCAGCCAGAACAATTAATGCAATCATGAAGCAATTAGTGCAGGCAGCAGATGGTTTGCTGCTCTTTTTTTTCTCAAGACTGGCAGGAAAAAGCCATGACTGAATTAGGGACTGGTCTATCAGCAGTGGTAATTCAAGTCCACTGCCCAAGGCAGAGACAGGAGAAAGATATGTGAACAAAAGCAACTGAGCCACTGAAGCTTAATGAGTTATTGTTCATCAGCTGAACCCCAGTAATTAACCACATTCACTCACAATCAACACCCAAGAAACTGGGACATAAAATTACTTCAGCTAAAACAGATTTCCCTGCCATTGAGTAAACCCCTATTCAAACAAACAAGAAAAGGTCTGATCATAGTGATAGATTCAGTGGGCTGTGAAGAGATTGAGGGATGATTCTGTGTGACCCACTTACTGTTTATTACAACTGAGCAATGAGAAGCCTCCTCCACTGCTGGCTTTGCCCTCATCAATCCTTAATTGGATGGACAACTCCTGAGAACCAAAACAGTCCAGACCCAATGTGATTCCTGCCTCTCCAGCTCTTGCTCTATTCACCACCTCATTTTCCCCATCCCATTTGCTGCAAGGACACAATGCAAATGGATGACAACAATCAAATGGCTCCCTAGAAGGATGTAAAAGTGTTTTCTAGTTGATTATCACCTCCCTCCTGTCAACAGCAAAATTAAATGACTGCACCAATCCTAACTGGTCAAAATACAATTTACTCTTCCAAGTCGTCATCAAGAAAACCCTCACAACCTCTTCAGTCAGCAGCATCCAAGTTAGTGGCACCAAAATGTAAATTCCTGACCATGCAGATACATTTCCCTTGCCTCCTTGAGTGACTCTCAAGTCAGTATGTACACAGTGCCTGGAATCCAAGGAGTAATGGACCCTCTTCCCTTAAATACAGCCTTAGCACAGGATCAGGAAATAGCTAACAGCAGTGTCATTTGTTGCAAAGCACCCCTCAGCTCCCATTGCAATTATCTAAATACCTGCAGGACTTCTTAATTACTCTGAGAAAATTCTGCCTTTGGATACACAAACACGAAACCAATGGGAGTCATTTACACTTAGCCATAGGCTGAACTTGACCCTTAGTTCGAGTTACATTTAATTTAGTCCAAGCTGATTAATGCTCTCTGCCTGCTGGTTACCCTCTACAGTTCTTGGGCAAAGCTTGTCGAAGTCAGAAAATGTGTTCATTAGGCTTTAAAGTAGAAACCAGGTCTGTGACTCATACCCATTCAGTGTACTTTTAAAATTCTATTTTGGACTTAATTGGTACAGATCTACAGACTTTGTGCTACCTGATTTTTGTCTTGTAACTACAGTATTGAATTACCAACAGTTATTCAATTTGCTAATCAATTCCATAACAAAAAAATTTTATAATACAGCCTACATCCTTTCTCCCCAAACAACTCACACACATCCCATACACACAACTCCAACACCACCCCCATAAATTCATGTTAACACACAAACAGACCCTTTGTTCTTATATCCAGATTGTCTTTAAGGATTCTGTGGAAGAGTGGGCATTTCCTATGAAATACCAAGCTACTGCTTGGTAGCCAGCAATCATAAATTAAATAAGCCTTAGCTGTATGGTCTCTAATTCAGAAATATTTCCTGACCAGACTGAATACCCTAGCAATTGAAATGAATTTTCTACTATATGCTACTTTTATTTGACAAAGCTCCCTCTGAAAGTTTCATTGATTTTCATGTAATAAATTTCCTGTTATTAAACACTGTAAGTTTCATTCCAATGGTCCTAAAAAGACATCAGAGACCAGCTTCTGTCTGTTTCATATCAGTCCAGAGAACTCAGCAGCTACAAGGGAAAGGAAACATTTTGGCCTTGTCTAATTACACACTGAACACAGAGAAATAATTTAATCTGCACATTCCTCTGAAATGAGTATAACCATAGTACACTCTACAAAATGCTGTGAGAGAGGTGAGTGAAAAGTAATGCATGCAACTGACTGTACAGAAAGAATTAGTAGGCAAGATGCATTTCTCAGTTGCAAAGGGTATTAAGCTACAGTCCTGGAAGGATTCTGGATTTGAGTGTAAAGTGAAGGAAGAAAATATTCCAAAAATTTCAATACAATCATTTTGCAACCTTACCTACTTGCTCAGTTTCCTTATGCCTTTGTTTTCTCAGGCTTACTGTAATACCAAGCCTAATTTATGCAAAATGAAAATTAGTAGTTTAATTATTTTACAATTAATTTAACTACACAGATAGAAAATATCACAGATGTCAAACTTTTATGTTGATCCTTACATTAATGTATAACCTGAACAAGTCAGCCAATAGTTAGCTTATCAATTATATTCACAGATTCTATTCTTACAGCATACACAAAACAAAAAGGAGACCACTAAATTACTTTGTGTAAAGGCCTATATGCTAAATGTCAAGGTATTTCACTCTTTTACCCTTGCTGGGAGCTCAACAAACTCTTTTGGTCTTTTTCCAGGTTTATTCATAAAACTTTAAAACGTCAGGATGTGAAATCAGCAATTTCTCTGAGCAGTTTGCTCCAAAGGCTAGTTACTTTACAGCTGAGTTTATCTGCCACTGACTCCTAACCATCAATTTTTGTTAGAAGTTTTTATCACTAAATTGAAATGGTTTCTCCTATGATTTGTCTTCCCCCATAGAAACATTTATGTGCAACAATATAGTTTTCCTTCAATCTGCTTTTTTGTTGAACTAAACAGATTGAGGTCTATCAAATCCTTTGCTGTAAGAAAACTGACTTGTATTGATGTGTCTGATTCTCAAAAAATTCCAACAATGAGTTCTCCACAAAAAAAGTCCTGTGTTGTTGTGTTAGGTTGGGCAGCAAAAAATGAAGGCAAATCTCACAGCATATTTATTTGGCTGATGGATTACCCATACTGAGGGAACTGGACTTCAAAGGAAATTGATTCAGTGCTACTTTTCCTCTTAGAAAATCAAAAACAACTTGAAAATACGCCAACCAGAGAGGAACAAGGAGTGTCTTATACTGTTCTTGGAGCTGATACTAAACTGGAGCAAAAGAATTGTCGAGTAAGAGGCCAAAAGCCTCATTAGAGGTTTGTGAAGGATCCTAGCTGTCTTCTCTGCCCATTGCCTGTCACACAATATTGCCAAAAGGATGGATGAATAAACACAGACTGCCAGATCAGTAATAGAGGGCTAGGCCCCAGGAACACAGCAGATGCCCACGTCCTTTACTTTGACCTTTACATTGAGGCTTGGTCAATGTTTCCTGCTTGGAAATACCAAACTGGAATTTCCAGAGGCTGTCCTGGGGTCACCCCGAAGACTGTCCTGAATGCTCTGCAGCAGTTGCACAGAGAGATGGGGGAGCTCTGGGTTCTCCCCAAGCAAACCAAGCCACGACTCTTACCTTCTGATCTTGGCTGTAGGCTAAGATCCAATCCTCCTGTTTGGGATGGAAGAGCAGACTGTGGATGTAGAAGTTCAGACGGTATTTTTGATAGGTGGCTCCTTCATCAGAACTGATTAATAAGCTGCTTTCAACTTCTGGATCAGTCAGCAGCATAATCTATATGGAAGGGAGAGTGAAAATACAGTGGTTAAGGGGAGTCAGATGGAAAACGAAGCAAGCAGCTAGGAACTTCAGAGAAGCTTATTATATATATTGACCATTACAAAATGCTTCAATGTAATGTCAAAACCACTATAGCCAATTTTTCAGTAATGAAAACAGCATGTTTCAGCTATGTATATAAACACATAACATATGATCAAATAGGCAGAATTACTTTACCACTAGTTAAACCAGACCTAAATGAAGCTGTAGCTTATTTGAAAAATTAAACCTGAAATTTTTAACACTAGAGCACAAAAATTACCAGGCAGGCACAGTGGACTGCTAGGGTTTTCAAGAATGATCTATTGGAGTGGCAAACAAAAAGTCAGGTGTTAAGAAAAGAAACCCAAAACACAGAGAGAGGAGAGAGGCTGATCTCTAATGGTGGGTTTTGTTAGATTCTGGCAGAAATTTCAGAGAAGGCAGCTTGACTGCCTAAAATATTACCTGGCTGTCTGCAACAAGCAGTCTTGCTTTGGCATGAGAACACATTTGAGAACGTGCTGGGTTCTTTCCACCTCCAGTTTCTATGGTGCTTTGAATTATAGATTTGGTAGTGTATCAAAAATAACCTCTGCATAGTAAATTTGCTTTCTAGCTTTGTCCAGGAGTGCTAGTTTAGGAGTGACAAAAGATACATGACTGAGAGTTGTAGTAGCTACTTCACCCCATTAGCTGTGGTATTAATTGGTCTGCATTGCTGATGAACCAGTGGCAATAATGAGGTACTCCTTTCATGTGTCTCTGCATGAGGGAATATACAGGTCTGAGCAGTAAATATACATTGTTCCAGTATTTCAGCAAGCAACAGAGTAATAACCCTAAGGAATGGGAATAAAGCATAATGACTGAAAAACATGAACAATTTTAAAGAATATTTGCCTTTGAAAGGTATTAAAGGCTTGAATCATTAGCATTTTTATTTTATTTTTTTCTAAGTTGCTTTGCAAATGGCAAACACTGATCTGTTTTTAGACAAGCCTGAAATGAAAATATCCACACCTGGAATTTCTCAGAAAAAATTCCTGTCTGGGTTTGAGCACTGCATACTTCATTTCCTTCTCTTTAATTTAGGCAGGGAGAGTTAGACACAACTTAACTTGCTACCTAGGAATTATAAGGAAGCATAGCATCTGGTGTCTGTGAGACACCAGATGCTAAAGAGCTATTGTATGTGAAGGTGTAAATACACATATAATCTACACAGAATATTTCTTTCATAATTGAGCAGCTGCAAAATCTTTTTTTCTGTCTCTAGAAAGCTCCTTGGTAGCACAACTATTTGGACTTTGACTTAAAAGTTTGGGGTTCTGCAAAACCCCTGAACTTTCAGATCCTGAATAATCTCAGACCAGTTACCCAGCCCCACTGTATCCCTAACATAAAATAGGGTAATGTTTCCATTGTAGCATAAAGGTAGAATCTCCTATTATATCTGTTTACTTTAGAAATTAGTAATGAAAATGAGAATTTTTAAACATTTTTGTTTTCATTTAACACTTTCAAATATTGCAAGCATATAATTGATGTGATTTCCAAAATAAAGATTGAGAGATGATAGAAGTTACACAGAAAGGATTAATAATCAAAATATCAATATATAAAAATATAAGATACTTTCACTAAGGAGTCTATCCAACTTCTGAAGCCAAAAATCATGATGTTTATCAGTTGGTTCCTTTTTCTTATCACACTAATTTCTGGGGCCAGGTTCCTATGTTTAATGTTTATTGATTCAATACTGTGATTCAAGCATTATGATCTTCCTATTTTTTATGACTACCTTCTTGAGTGGATTTTGTTTATGTTGCTATTTGGAAATATCACAGCACAGCATTAATTTGGACTAGAGCAACTAGAGCAGAAATAAGCACAAATCAATGGGCTTGATCCGAGCTCCCTGAAGTTAATAAGAGTCTTGTCACTGGCTTTGGACTGTGCCTCTAAGGCAAGCTGTTAATCAAGACCCACTCTAGTCTTACATATTTCCTCGTACCTGGGCAAGGAACTCATCTGACCTCATCACTGTCACATCCAAGCACATCACTGCCTTAACACATTTTGTGTTAGGCCACTCCTCTGAAGTGTGAAAGTGCTCTTATCTGCATTTCTTAAAAAGGGAATGGAGGGAGAAACTGTTGAGGCACTGAAGCACCTAATACTTCACCCAATCAATAAAAGTTAAGTGCCTCAACAGATTTTCAGACACTGCTGACTTTGGTTTTAATCTGCTAACTACCACCCTGGGCTATGAGCACTTTGTTTTCTCTGCTCTCCAAAAGCCTTGGCTTTGCATTGTGATAACCAGCCATTCTGCAGGTAAAATGCCCCAGGACACACCAGTTTTGTTTGTATGCCAACAGCACCTCAGATGTGGCAGAGCTGTGCCACTGCTGTGAATTTATGCAAGGGCACAGAGAGTGGGAGACAGAGCAGGGAGCTGATGGATGACTCTATCCACCAGTCAGATTGCTAACTATGAGACCAGCTTTCAGCATTATCTGCTGCACTGTTGTACCTTGTATTGTTAATCACTCTGCACAGGTGTCATAAAGCAAAACAAGTTAGAGCTGACTATCAGTCACTACTCGCATCACAGCTGCAGCACCAGGTTTTTTATAAGATTAGAAAAGCAAATTTCATTACAACATATCTGTGTGTAAATAATCAGAGTTACAAGCCCAAAAGATAGCATTTATTGGATAAGTAGAATAAATTGATACCTGTATGAAAAGTAAATCAAAACAAGAGGAAAAGGCTGCGCAAATTTATATAAACCTTTCAGAGCACACCAGGAGTGTGTTTCTGAAATTAGCCCTACAAAATTTTGGGGAAACCTCTGTAACAAGTTCCTGTGTTCTGACTCAGGCCACAGTGATCTCAGAGCACAAGAAATGCATTCCTTTTCAAGGAAACTAAACCAGAACAGCCCCTGTCCATGGCAGGGGGCTGGAACTAAATAATTTTTAAGGTTCCTTCCAACACAAACCATTCAATGATTCTGTGATACACCTCAGGAGTGCATCTAATGTTTTCCAACCACTGTTCTGGGCATTCAGATCACACTATCACCTTAGCACTACTCTGAAGTCAGACTCTCTACCTCCAAAATGCCCATAGTGCAGATGTCATCTCAACATCAACCATTTCATTCTACAAACACACTTTCACTGAGCTGCACTACATGTTAATATAGTTTCAGTCACATTAGTTTAGTTTTATTGCCTAAGTTGCCTGGAATATAAATGAAAAAGGAGGGAAAGTACAATTCATTTTAATGCTTTTTTTTTTTGTTGCAGCACATGAAATACAGAGTAAATACTCTTTAGAACTTCCTTTTAAATAAATTAACCCAATTTCTGCTTTGAAGTAGTCTATTACCCATTGACTTTACGCAACTGATTATACAGAAAATACAACCGGACACAAATGTGTTGAACAAGAAAAGCATGAAAACCAAAACCAGAAACAGTAACAAATATTAATATAAGTTTAGCTGCCATAAACTTTAATAGCTAAGAATACCTAAGATAAAGAGATTAGAAAGAAACTATTTTTATCATTTTGGGCTTCACGGTAGAAAGCATGCTGGATTTCCTGAAATGTGAGCTACTCCATCAAACATCTTGCTCTGCTTTTACAGTGCCTAATACAGCAGATTGCTGCTTTCCCAACTAACACTGTTTTTTGGATGAGTTTATTCCAAACATCACAGAAAAATCAACATGACTTTTGCATATGAAAATCTCACTTTAAATTTATCCAGGTCCTTAGAGCCTGTAGGGATAGGGAGCCTAGCTCATGAAGTCAAATAAGATTTTTGAAGCATTTCCTTGCCAAAGGATGTGGAAATTGCCGTGGGATAAAAGGCTGGAAAATACTTCTAAGATCATCAAGTCCAAGCATTAGTCTAACACTGCCAAGTCCACTCCTAAATCACCACATCTACACACTTTTCAAACACTTCCAGAGATGGTGACTCCACCACTTCCCTGGGCAACCTGTTCCAATGCTTGACCACCCTCTCAGTGAAAAAATTTTTCCTAGTTTATAATCTAAACCTCCTGTGGAGCAACTTGAGGCCATTTTCCCTCATCCTATTGCTTGTTACCTGACAGAAATTACCAACCCCACCCTATATGCACAACAATAACATTATCAGCTTGCTTGGGCTGTATGTGAAGACTAGGGCCCATGATTTTCATGTTGACAGTTTTTAAACTACCTCTGATTCCACCACTACAAAATTAAGTTATTAACACAGGAGTAAGAAGAGCTATTTTCATCTGCCTCTCACTTCCACTAAAAGCCCTTTGAGGTGGGAGACCAACCTCAGAGTGCCTCTGGTCTGGTTTATTGTTGTCTTAAACAAAAGTGAAGAGTGAGTAGGAGCAAAGACTGCTTCTCTCCAGCAAGAGTAATTACTCTCTGCTCAGATCAGTGTTCAGCAATGATCAGAATCTGCTTATTCACACCAGGCAGAGCAAGCACACACTGCACTTCCTATTGCTCCAGATGGATGGGGTTTTTTTCCTCTGTTAAAAAAAAAGCCAATACAGTTGACACAAGCTTTTGCAACCAAATGCAAGGCATTCATTAATCATCTCCCTCTAAAAAGGGAGAAACGTGATTTGCTTTCCATAGAAATGACAAATGGAAACCAAACATAATTTGTAGACATTAAGACAGTCCACACTTTTTTCACCCCTCCTTCAGTGGTAACTCTGTTGATGACATTGCCTTTGACAATTACATGTATCATTGCTGTCATCACAAAGAGACCCAGGAATTCTTAGCAAGGGGACTCTAGTTATGCTTCTAGAGATGGAATTGTGAGCCCTAGAAACCTGCTGTGAATGCTAGATTTAGTGGCTTAGTAAAAAAAGTCCAGAATTGCTCTCAGGCTTTTATTTTGGCCACTCATATCTCCCCTTGGACCAGCTTTTTGCTAA